ATACATATATATATATGTATACATATATACATATATATGTATATATGTATATATATGTATGTATACATACATATATATGTATGTATACATACATATATATATATGTATACATATATATATATATATATATAGACACTTTAGATTATTTGATTTTGCAAACGTCCAGCTGCTTAAGTCAGAAATTCACCTAGCATGTTACTGGTTCTTAACTTTCACCTAGATTTAGTTGATCAACCTTCTTTATGAGATGAGATTTTTTATTATTTTATTATCTTGCATGTTTGACAGATCTAATAGTGGACTGATCTGTGTGTTTCAACATATAAATCCATGACTTCAACAATATCATTTATTCATTTTCCTATTTCCTCAGTTGCAAAGGAATTATATTGTGATGCATTCAAATGAAACAAAACTTAAAAAGGTTTGGTATGGAAGTTGCTATACATTTAGCACACTTTGTTGACATCGGTGATCCCATATGTGGCCTGTACATGTGGTTGGCTGAATGAGGAGGTTACCATTGATAGCTCTAACGTGGGAAAATATGAGTATGCCTCATAGATAGATGCCTTACAAAGAGAATAGTCTCATTGAAGGCGGTTAACTCTGCAGGGTTAAGATACACAGAAAGTGAGCCATATGAACATACAACCAGAAAAAATGGAGGTTTAGAATTGGTTTCTCTCATATAAAACAGAAAGCTGAACTCGAAATTGGTACTGAATAATTTGAGAAGTCATTGACTCTTTTCAGAATGGGACAAAGAAAATGCATACAATCATAACAGCAAATGACCCTGCATAACATAAATTATTAATTATGTTTTAGTTAGTTCTTTCGAGTTTATAATAATGTATTTATTATATTGTGAAAATTTGATGGTCATGTTGTCTTTTATTTTTGAGATATTGCTAATTAATTCATTTTGCTTAGGTATGCCCTATCCGCAAAATCTTCAAACTGCCAAAGAAGTTGAAGCTATTGTGAGGGAGAATGGTGCAGTTCCAGCAACCATTGCCATTTTAGATGGAGTTCCATGCATTGGTATGTTAATCTAGAGATTGTTTAATGTGTTTATTATAGCAGATAATTTTAGTATTTCCTGGATGGCTGCAATGAACTGGGTAAAATGATATCCAAACATCATTCTCATTTTGGGATTTATCTACGATAGCAATTTCTACAAGCAAAAGGCGCAAACATTATATTATCAATCTCGGTGATTATTCCTCCATGCTACCAACCCTGTGAATGTATGATCCATATCCCACATTTCAAAATGGTGTTTGAAGTTTGAACAACTATTCGTGACTCATTTAATTCCTAGAAGGTAACTGCCATATGCGAAGCGCACAGAACTAGCGATGCCTTGTTGTGATAGTTGGATTGGTTATTTTTTCATGCCATAAATAAATTGTTCATTTTTGGGGATTTTCTAAGAGAAGCTGCATTTAGATTTGAACCATGTTCAAGACTCAACTAGGATACTTGATTACATGTATAATTACCTTGTAAGTTATGATCTGAGGAAGATACTTTGGCTTAGACTCTTTTGCCAACTTAAAGTATGATCAAGTACATGGATTTGGCATTTAAACAAATAGTTCGATACTGCTGTGTCCAGGTTCTTTCTGGATAAGCTTTTTATCTTAGTTTCCAAAGTGCTTTTATTCAAGTTATCTTGCACTGCTAAGTTGGCTTTCGTATTCACCTGTGCAATATGGACTTAAAGCTGATCCTAGCCTTTATTAGGGGCATCTACCATTCTACCAATTGATGTCATTTGATATTCTTGATAACAATGAAAGCATTGCTGTTCATTGTTGCAAAAAGTCATCTTACACAAGTTTCTTTCTAAGGTTGATGGACGTAAATTTCCTTTTTGTTTTCTCCTTTGTTTTTGATAATTTGACTCAACAACATCCTGCAAAACATAGTGTTCTTTTATAATTTGCTAGGTCTGAATAATGCACAACTAGAAAGGCTTGCAAAGCTTGGAATCAATGCTCAGAAGACATCTCGTAGAGATATTCCACATGTCGTGAGTGCCTTCTTTCTCTGTTTTTGGACATTTATTTTGTACATTGTTACATAAATCACTCTTGAAGTAACTAAATTCAGGAAAGATGAACTTCCCTATGATGTGAGTCTGATACTTGATTAGAAGGGTAAAAAAAATGTGGCGGTACATGAGGCATTTTTATTTGTGGGTGGCGTTTATGTGGTGGCACAGAGTAGGTGCATGCACCTGTTTCCCCTGCAATATCCCTTTTAAGTTTACATACCAGCTGGTACATGTGGCATGAGAATGGGGCATGTAGATACCTTTCTGATACTTTCTGACACTATTATGCTGGTCAGAACAAGCTAAAAATTATATCCATATCAACATTTCCAACATTGGCCTATGTGACAGTTTTGGTATGTTTTGCGCACATGTATGTTTCAGCCTGTGCTGATGCCAGTTGGCTTGGCAGTCCTTGCATAATCCAAGATGAGATCCTAGGTTTGTGCCGCTGGTAATTTACAATCTGAATGACGAAAATACTTTTGAAGCAGGACCATGGATTTACAATTATTTCTTGTTAGACATTTGCATTTGTTTATGCTTGTTTATCTTTTTCTGTGATTGATATTCTAATTCACATAAGTTGACAGGTTGCAGCTGGCAGTAATGGTGCAACAACAGTTTCTGCAACCATGTTTTTCGCTTCAAAGGTAGTTTAATTATTATGATTTATTCAGCCACAATGTCAAACAATCACTGCTGACTAAGAGTGCTTCTGTATGCATGACCATTTCAATACCTCTGTCCATGATGGGAGTTTGACAACAAAGGAAAAAATGGTGATTCTTATGAGATAAAGTACAAGTATTGGGATATATCAAAGTTCTCTCTTATCTAAGAGCCTTTCTGATGTTTTCTTTCCTTATTGCTGGGCTGCATTTGAAAGGATTTGAATTGATATCTTAGTTCTCAGGTCAAGTTTTAAACTCTTGAGTTAGCTATTCTTCTTCTCTCTCCGTTTTAAACTCTCCATCTGCCACCTTCACCTTTAGTCTTATCGAATTATATTATATAATTGTCCAGCAACATGCCAACCTCCGTTGCTCCTTTCCTTTCGGACACTTCTCATGCTTTCACATTCTAGGACCCTTGCAGCCTATTTGACTACAGCTGGAAGCCTCATTTGATTACATTTCTTATGCCCCCATGTGTTCAAATTGCATCGATCAAGAAGTAGAGTCCTTTCTACATGAGCTTTCTATTTTTCTCTTTAAGTAACAAAATGTGATATCACCAGCATTTTTGCTCATTGAGCCCAATTAATATTATTGAAAGTAGTGAGAGATAAACAAAGAACAAGTTGGAACAAGCTAAGATTAGAGAAATCCTTGATATTTACTCATTGTCTTTTTTGTTTTATCACTCATGAAGTAAGAATCATCAATCAGTAAAAATCAAAATTCTATACTGCTCTGTCATTAGGGGGTGTTGGAACTTCCAAGACATGCTAATTGCTGGTAATTGGCAATGCTTGGCTTACCATATTGTCACGACTTAGTTGGTTTTGCCTAAGTCGTGCGGCACCCTTGCGTGTCCGTCCGCAAAGGTCAGCCTCCCACGGTCCCTTAGGACCCACAAAAGAGAAAACGGGTTAGAGAGAACGCCTCACACGGGATCCACAAACAAACATTCCAGGAAACACTTCATAGACAATGCAAATTACAAACAAACTTTACAAGCTCTGAACAGTTGCACATCAAAGGGTCAAAATGGTCTACTACAGACCAAAAATCTCTCACAAGTGTCCACATGACACAACCTTTATTTACAAGCCTAAAGCGGCCACCAAACCAACTAAAATGGGACTATTAAGCCTTCGGCCGTCCCTCTACATGTTGTTCAAAGCATGAACATACCAAAAGACACGGACATACATAAGCATTACATCAAACATCCTGTTTAGAAGTTTGTCCATGACATTCTCCCCCACTTATTCTTTCGACGTCCTCGTCGAAGCCTTTGCCGACACTGCAACTACTTGCCTTTGTTGAGTTTTCAATCTTCTGCTCCAGCTGCAATGCGCCTCCTGGCTCCCATATGCTCTCCGCTGCTGTTTTTGAGTAGTCGAACCTTTGATCCGCCATGCTGCTTCAACTCGCCAATGATTCTGACTCTGGTGTGGGGTTGGCTGAGTTGTGTTGATCCTTGTTGATTCCTGCGGATCCTCCAGATGAAGGAAAATACCATCCTTACTACGCCAATCTCTCAAATGCCTCATCCTGCTTGAATTGGGTGGATGCTTGTTGGAGCTTTAATGAGCATCGTCTCGTAAACTTCTGAAGTTTTGGGTCCTTCCTCCACAAAATTTGTCCATTGACTCTTCTTTCACTTAGTTGTCACTTCTAAGTAGGTTCGCATCACTTCCGCTTTCGATTGACATTTCGTTGGGAAATGAAGCGGACAATCTACTCTCAGTAGCATTGATCACCGTCGGTGAGGATTTGACAACTATTGTCTTTCATTATCTTCGAAGGGTCTTTGAACCTATGCAGAGCTCCTCTGCTGGATAGATAAGAGAATTGGGGTACTCGGTTTCGCCCATTCTCTTAAAGGTTGAGAAGGCAAAAGTTACTTGACTTCGCCCGCCTCCTCGAGGTTGTACTCCATGCATCGAGCTGGTTACTGGCCTTCGCCTGCTCTTTTGCTCACACTTCTGAAGCACTTGAAATGTTTGCACTCCTTGCATTGAGTTATCTACTGTGATTCACCTTCTTAATGCCATCGAACTTCTGGAATGCAAGAAGTTTTCACCCCAACTTGGTGTAATTCTCTAATAGATTTGGTCGCCTCTGGGATTGTACCGTCTTCTCCATCAACCCTGCCGCCTACTCCCCTGAGTAGCAAAGGTACAGCACCGCGTACTACCTGCTTCGTTCCTTGGTCGTGCACTCTTGCATGACCCGAAGTCCTTCACTTTCGGCTATCTTGTTGAGAAGCTCGTTGACACCGGTCTTACGAAGTTCCTTGACCTCTGCCCTTCAGCCTTATCTCGGTACTTGGAGTTTGCCTCTGCATGCTCCACCTCCTCGGCCCCTTTCACGACCAAGCGCTCTCCCTCCATGAGAGCAAGGGATCAATAACTTTCGCGGAAGTCCCGCCTCTACGGTACCATGGCGCTGCCATGCCCATGGCCCTACTATCCGTCGCCTCGCATCTGTATCCCCTTTTGTCACAATCAGTAGATATGTCTCTGTGGCACTCCTCCGAGTCCACCTCCATTCTAAGTGATGCTTGATTTTGGGTAGCTAAGTCCCTCTGGACTCGTCGTCGCTTCCTCGTCCCTTTCGACCCCCTGCTTCAACACCTCTGTGTTCTCTAAGTAGCACCCTTTGGTCGATGGAAAGACAGACTGCAACTCCCATGCATGGCCTCTGCCATCGCATTATAGGGTTTGCACCGATTCTGTTCTCCTTAGCTTCCTTGGTAGTAACGTTCGCTTACTCGACCTTGTCCTCTGACTTGCCGGGCTCCCTTAAGCGAATATGGGCTCTAGAGCAGTCCAACTCTCCAGCTGCTTCGATCATAACTCTGCATGATCAAGTCCCTCCCATGGGACTCACTGATACTTGCATTCGAACTTTTCCCTTGGTGGAACACAGCTCCCATATGCTGATGACCAAGGCTTTCATCCGATGCAAAATTCGATGCACGCACGGAAGACCCGCCTCTGCGGTACCATGGCCTTCATTCGAATCCATAGCCCTTCTTGCCGTCATGTTGTTCACCGAAGTGGAGCTTCCAGTAGCTCCCGATCATACCTTCGTATGATCTAGTCCCTCACGGGACTATGCCGTGTGTATCGCATTGCCACGAATTGTTCCATCACGATCCGCTGCACCATGTCGCCTCCTGGTGACATCTCTATTGCATTTTGATCCTTGTGGGATGAACTCGAATTGTGATCCCTCCATGTGTGGCCTTTGCCAATACATCGCAGGGTCTCTTCCACCTTCGATTTTGTTCGCTCCTTTGGCAATCGACCTTCATCCACCCACTCTTGGGTCACACCTAGATGAAGCACCGCTCTAGGACAGTTCGTCGCCTAGTAGCTCCCGAAGTCCCCTGACTTCGCTGCAATTAGTGCACCATTGTCTGGATCCTAGGCCTCTGCCCCTACCAGCACAATTTTCGCTACGCACTGCTTCCTTCATGGCAACTTGAATGGCAACACTGTGGTATATTCTTGAAGAGTATCCGCCCCCGCGTCTTCTTGCCCCGTGCCAAGGCCTTCTAAACCCAACTTCGCCTCCGCAAATTGAGTCGCCTTAGTTCCTCCATCAAATGCTTTTCCGAGATAAGGTGCATGTGCCCAGAAGCTCCCTTCGTCTTTGGCACCATGCAAGATGAGTCTTCTCTGTTAGAATGAAGGACCCATGGAACAACATGACCCTGCTCTTGCCTCTGCAAGAGTTCATGTCCTTGACCTCTGTCCAAGGAAAGCACTGTGCCTCCGCTCCATGTTCCATCTTCTATGCTGGCTCTCTTCATGCGGCTTGGGTACTTCGCCAAGTTACACTCAAGTTGCTCCGCTCCTCGTTTTTGCATTGAGTTGATGGTGGCCCTCGCGCCCACCATTCCACGGGTCAGCCCTCCCTTGAGTCCGATCTCCATATCGACTCCAAGTGTGCCTTCATTTGTGTTGCTTTGGGTCGCTCCCCCACTTGATCTCGCAATGCATCCACCAATGCATTCTCTCAAGCGAGATCATGCGACGACTCCTCGCCGCTTGCTCGGTCCATTGAGCTTCGTAGAGTTGTTGTTTGTTGAGGTACTCCTCCTCAATATGTGTGGTCTGTCCCACATGATTCTCTCTCTGGAGAGCCGAAACTTATCCCTCCTGGATAACTGTCCTGTTGAAGCAACATCTCTCTTCGTTTCGGAGACTACCATCCCCTTGGACTACTCCGATTTGCTAAACAAACTGTACATGGTTCTGCCTTCTGCAAGCGCACTTGCTAGATTGCGACTCCACGTCAATACAGCCCCCGCTGCACCACTCAAGGCCTAGCAACATGCTGAACTTGCTGCACACTTCAGCCTCCTACGGACGTATCCCTCACATGCCGAAGAGAAAGTTTCAATGCTCCATGGCGCCGAGTTTCGGTCGGCTTGGGATGGCCGCGAACATTCTATCATCCGTATACAAGCCCATGTATGAGTACCAAATTCTTTGAGTTAGCAATTCCCCTCACCTCTGTGAGCTTTGCACAACTCTTTCGGTCGCTGTGCAACTCATTCCACCTTGCATGGTCTTATCCTTTACCAAGCGCCTTGCTTGCCTTGAGCACCATCAAGTATAGTTGTCAACGTTGAGCCGTAGCTCAAACTCAGCCATCCCAACCTTTGTGCACTCCTCATTCTTCCAAGCTTGCCTGTTCTCGTGGTGCCTCTTGCGCGAAGGGTTGGCCATTCCTCTGATTGCCAATCTCAGATGCTCGCTCCTCCGAGCGACTTCTTTTCCCTACATCTCCATGCCCGTTTTCCCCCAAACGGTCGCGCGTGTGCTGACTGCCCTCAACGCAGCCCCGCTAGGTCCCCCACGTTTGCATGCTAAGTATTTCTATGAGTGCTTGTCCCGCTCTGATACCATCTATCACGGACTTAGCTGGTTTTGCCTAAGTCGTGTAGCAGCCTTGCGTGTCCGTCCGCAAAGGTCAGCCTCCCCGAAGCCTCCCACGGTCCCTTAGGACCCATAAAAAAGAAAACGGGTTAGAGAGAACGCCTCACTCGGGATCCACAAGCAAACATTCCATGAAACACTTCATAGACAATGCAAATTACAAACAAACTTTACAAGCTCTGAACAGTTGCACATCAAAGGGTCAAAATGGTCCACTACAGATCGAAAATCTCTCACAAGTGTCCACATGACACAACCTTTATTTACAAGCCTAAAGCGGCTACCAAACCAACTAAAATTGGACTATTAAGCCTTCGGCCGTCCCTCTACATGCTGTTCAAAGCATGAACATACCAAAAGACACAGACATACATGAGCATTACATCAAACATCCTGTTTAGAAGTTTGTCCGTGGCAATATGTTGGAAATTGTGACTGACGGATGCATTAGTTATATTCATCTTATTTCTCAATACCTGGCTACTTGGTAACTATATTATGATGAGTAAGCATATATGCTCTCACATGTATTTTTGCCTGCTCAATCATACAAGACTAGCAAATAATAGTATCTTAGACGATGTTTTTATTTAATTAGCATACTTAATGTTGCACTTACAGGTTGGCATACCAATTTTTGTAACTGGGGGTATTGGAGGAGTACATAGACATGGGGAAACGAGTAAGAATATCTTCTTCTTCATTTTTTGTTATTTTTAAAAAAATCAGCAGAATGTATATGAAGCAATTGGCTGAAGGAACTGTAATCTGAGAGCAGTCACTCGTTATGTTGCAGTTTCTTGATAAAAGAAGTCATATGAAATCAAAAGATGTTAACTAAATTTAGTTGCTTCTTTCCTCAGAACCACTAAAGTTCGGTTTCTTAATCTTGGCCTGTTTAATGTATCATTGGTCTACATGTCTTGGAACTGGATCTTTTTTTCCAGTTAAATTTTGAAAATTGTATCAACATTGTGGCTAACCTAATTTCTGACCATAAACTTACCTGTCTTTATTTCTTACTATGTTATTGTTTTTAATATGCAGCAATGGACATATCATCTGATCTCACCGAGCTTGGCAAAACCCCGGTGGCAGTAATCTCAGCTGGGGTGAAGTCAATTTTAGATATTCCCAGAACCCTTGAGTATCTGGTATAGATGCTTTGTCCTTGTACAAGTAAATTTACACTCAAGTACATATAGTGTTACTAGAGCCCTTGAACACCTGGTACTCGAGTGCTTTTCTGTTGTAGGAAATATATGTTATGATCTATTGTTGAGTAGATGTATAAAGGAAACAAAATTGTAACATAAACAAGGTTCATCGTACCGTGGCGTACCGCTCAGTATGGGCGACATGTATCGATCTGACAGGAGATCGGTATGGGCAGTATATCGGTATGCCCCATGTACAACAGTGTGTCGGTACGCTCAATATGGCTCGGTACATCTTGGTATATACTGTACCAACAACTAGTCGGTATGGATCGGTAAGGTGAACGATGAACATAAGTATCATCAAGATGTCCACATCTTTCTTGTATACCATGGTCAATGTCCATGTAATTGTTAGAAAAAAGAAAGGATATCTCAAAAGATCCTTTAGATTGACATCATCAGAAAAGGAGGATATATCAGGGAACGTCTTTTGGTGAATGACATGATATACATTTCTGAATGACAAAAGATTGCATATGATGCATAAAAAAAGTTGTTTGTCTTCTTTTCGGGAGGATACATCAGGGACTATTTCGGTGCAATGCATGATATACATAATTCTGAATGACAGTGCAAAATTACATTTGATGTATAAAAACACTTGGGCCGCATCATTGCGGTCAAATGTATAGTGTCACAAGGCCAGAACAGTAAAGAGGTGGAATGTATGGCAATTTTGGATGCTCTAAATAGAGCAAAGCAGGAAGGTCTAAGTAACATCTGGGTAAAATCTGATGTGCTGGAAACAATCATTTGGCTTAATTGAACTAGTGGAGTTCCCTAGAGTCAAAATCAAGAGTCTCAGATATCTTGTTTCTGGCACAACTCCTTAACATCTAGTTTCTTTCACAGCAGATATGTAAATGCGATGGCCCACCACTTGGCCAATTTTGCTAGATCTGGCAACTCAACTCATGGTTGGGGAGTTGACTCTGTCTCTCTTTCTGTATCCAGCCATGTTTTTTGACAGCCACTATGGCTCTTGAATGAAGGTCTTCCTAAAAAAAGTATAGAAAAGGTTGTTTGTCTCATGTAACAAAGTGAACTTTGCATTAGCTGTAGTGTTTCCCAAAAAGTTGAATGATGATTTTGTTGCTGATTGGTGATCAACACTATCTCCTAAATCACAGTGATGGCGTGATAGGTTTCCATGGGTTTAGTTTAGGTCTTATTTGATTCCTAATTGAGACAAATCTGAGTTTTCCTTTTTGGAATACAATAAATAGTCAAGGATTATGTATTATTATTACTCATTAAGTTGTCCTCAACATTTATTTTTAAATTGTCCTCAATATTTGAGTGAGTAATGATAGTTGTAGTGGTTGGATTCTGTTGGCTTTGAATTTACAGTCTACTTCTTTTGTTCCAACTAAGGCAAATTCTAGGAACTATTGTTAGTAATTGGACTTTGGCTGAAAATTTAAAATGAAATATATGGCTCCCTTAAATTATTGGAATCATCGTCAGGTAAGCCAATCAATTTTTAGTGATCTATCAAATATATGCGTTTTGGTTAGTCACTGGCATCAAGTTAAACCAAGTACTTGCAAATTGCAAACTGTGAGAGTTTTAATTAAACAATCGGAAGGAATTTGACTAGTAACAAGATCTAATATAGAGTTTTTCTTAATGTTGTTTTGACCACAGAAACGTCTTTTTACTGCAGGAAACTCAAGGAGTGACAGTTGCTGCTTACAAGACCAACGAGTTTCCTGCATTTTTCAGTGGAACAAGTGGATGTAAAGTAATAAGCGCTTACTCTATTTTTCTCTCATTTGTTGTTGATGCATTGTCGTGACTTATTATCTCTGACACTTCCATGAAATAATCTACTATGCTCTGTACTATGCTTCATATTTTACTAATTTTCTTTTTCTTCCATTCGTATGTAGTCTCAGTGGCATTAATAGAATTGCAAACATACACATGAGAGACAGATAGATAAAAAGATAGACAGAGAGAGTGAGTGTGTGTGTGTGTGCATGCTGTTGGATATTGTTCATTTACTAGTCAGAATAGTTTAGTCATCCTCCGTGAAATAGTTGAACATTGTCCCAAGCTAACTTAAGCTTAGCTGGATAAAATATATCCGTGAGATAATCCCCAAACTTGCTGATTAGTTTGTTGTTTATTAGCCCTATGTCGACTAGTCAGGTCCTTACCTTATGTTTGACAATATCAAACAATCTGAACTTTGATCAACTTCTCTCATTCGTTCTCATAATGTAAGAACCTTGTAAGACAAGGTCTTCATGTAAAGTATGGTTCTGGACAAAGTCAAACCTAGCCTAGACTGTCATTGAAGCTCAAATTATGATTAGTCTACCTTTAGTCCTCTCTGTATAGGTTTCAAATCTGAAATAGTTCCATAGGTCAATGCAATTGCATCACAACTATGTGGCAGATGAGAGAGGTTGATTGTGATATGGTTTATTTCATTTTTTAACCATTTACTATCCTTTAAGGCTCGTTGACAAAGGTCGTTTTTTCTTAATCAGGAATGTGACATTTCTTAGAGGGCTGATAACCAAATCACAAACCTCAGTTATTATCTTCTATGTGTTTGTTGACTTGGATTTTGCTTTATGGCTATATAGATGGAAATGATGATGACACTTGGCTCAACATTTGAGTTGTTAAATGTGTTCTTAATGCATGATTTATGATTTATTCCAAGAAGTCACATTGTTTTACATATCATCGAATTCTTTAAGGCTATTTTATGCCTTCATATTAGAAATTAGGATCTTGGAACCATTCATTACGTGGGGGTGCTTATGCAAAAAATACAGTTCTTATAGCAATATAAGATTGTACGATAGTGTAATCACAAATATTTGGTAGTCCTTTTGATCTTCTGAATGCAGGTGCCTTGTCGTGTGGACACTCCAGAACAGTGTGCTAGGCTCATACGTAAGCAATATTGATTCTTTATCTTTTTCCCAAGCTTCATAATCCATCCGCATATATCACTTTATTTTCTCTTGTGGACCTCAGATGCAAACTTGAAGTTAGGACTTGGAAGTGGAATGCTAATTGCAGTACCTATCCCGGAAAAACATGTATCTGCAGGAAATGTCATAGAATCTGCAATACAAAAATCCCTAGAAGAAGCAAAGTAATAATACCTTTAGCAATCTATAGTAAATTGTTTCTCTATTATGATGTTATTTTTAGGATTCACTCTCATCTGCTCGAGTCTGTTATGTTTGTGAATTGCATGTGTTTGCTTATGGCATCATTGTGGACCTTCTGGTTCTTCTGCTCAAGTATACCAAAAACCGTCTCTCAATTGACATGCTTGAATGCAGACCAAGAAGACATTCTTCTATCTGATGCCTAAATGGCAATATTTCCTTAGGCAGCAACATTAATGTCTAAACTTAATAGTTTTTTTTTCCAATTGATGTTTCAAAGAAACAACCTAATTTATTAGCAACCTTTTTTTGTCAGTGTCTTACTGTTGTACTTCTGTTACATAACATATATATATATATATATATATATCTATATATATATATATATCTATATATATATATATATATATATACACACACATATATACATACATACATACATACATACATATACATACATACACATAAATATACATACATACATACATACATACATACATACATACACATACATATATATACATATATATATACATACATATACATATATATACATATATATATACATGGAAGACCAAGAAGCTGGGCTTGAGGTACTTGTTTACCTGCCTTCATGTCACAACTTGCATATGTACCTGCCAATTCTGCTTAGAAACTTGCAACTATGTTTTTGTTTAAGTCTCAAATGTGTAATGCATGAGCAGTTACATTATTATTAGAATCTTTGATGGTAATAAAGATCCAAGATAATCTATAGAACTTTAAATTTTACTTCAACTTGTAGCATCATTGACTAGATTTATCTTTATATATGTAATGTATAATTAACTAAATATACATGCCAACTATGGAAAAGTGACCAGCAGGATTGTGCTAATGCCGTCTGTTGATCTGTTACCTCAGGCTAAAAAATGTGACAGGAAATGCTGCCACACCTTTTCTGCTTGCTAGAGTCAATGAGTTAACTGGGGGTGTATCATTGGCTGCCAGCATCCTGTTGTACGAACGTTAATGTTGCTCTTTTTACATGGTGACATTTTAGATCTTGATTATTGAGTTGACATAATTTCATCCAGTACTGTGATACTTCATTCTGTATTTTAGAAGTCCAGTTATATTCTTCTGATGATTTTCCCTAACAAGTATCAGATATCACACTTGTGAAGAATAATGCATTTGTGGGTGCAAAAATTGCAGTTGCTCTTGCTAATCTTCAACAATGTTCTAAAAATGGTGAGCTTTTTATTTTCACTTTAATATTTTTATGCTTCAAACATAGTTGCTCTTTTTCATTTGAAAGCATTCCATTTTCACTTTGTTAATATTTTTACACGTCAAATTTAATTGCTATCTTTTCATTTGAAAGCATATGTGGCTATTGTATATTTGTATGACAGTTATGCATGTAGTAGTGGCAATGATCAACAAGTTGCTTATTGTAGTGACTAGTGAGAATATAGTTTATCTTTTTTGACATCCGGTTCTATAATTTTGTAACATTCATCTAATCAAGGTAGGCAATACCGAATGATACCGTCTGGTACGAGTGGTATGTACCGGTCCGACGGCATACCGGTACGCGGACCGTCCGCTACTAGACGGAACGAAAAATAATAATAAAATAATATATATATATTTATACTTATATATAAATATTTTAGAAAAAGGCGACGTTCGGTGACGTCGCCTTTTTCTACGACGTTTCAGATTATATATATATATAAACGAGGCGACGTCGCCTCGCGTGGGGAAGGAAAAGGTGACATCGCCTTTTAAATAAAAAAATAATATATAAATATATATATAATCTTATATATATATATATTAATTTATATATATATATATATATATATATATATATATAAATGAGTTTGAGAGAAGAGAGAGGTGACGTCGCCGAGTTATAAATAAATAAATAAATAAATAAATAAATAAATAAATAAATATATATATATATATATATATATATATATATATATATACTGAGCGATATACCGAATGGTATACCGCTCGGTATACAATTTCGTACCGTACCGAGTGAATGTCAAAACTTCGATACGGTACGAAATTGCAGACCTTGCATGTAATATCTTACCAGTCTTGTCATGAATGCAAGGAAATTGATATTTAACCTTTCTAATAAATTTGGATCAGACTTTGATTAAACGTGAGGCACACACAAACGTCAATCATACTACAGAAGACATTATAGTCAGGTGTTCTATGATTTCCTAATAATTAATGGACTATAAACATTGAAATCCTTTCGGATCTCTTACATGTATCATTTTGTTTCCTTTCTAAACTAGATGAACCATATGAACTCCATTGCTTGACTGATATCTTGATACTTTTGAAGCATTGTGGGATGTTTGCTTTGTAATCCATGTAATGTCATCAGGCCTGAATGGTTTTCACAAAATATCTAGTCCATACAGTACAAAAGTACAAAAAACTACTACCATGCACATGCTGATTTAGTCTGCCGCCAAGCACCACCTATATGCATGTACTTCTCAGGTCATGGATATGTATATGTGTGGTTAGGTCATGGGTCTTTTGTGTTTGTACTTTCAGGCTGCCTTAGAGATTTACAATCTATTAATATATAACTCTTTATTTTTTACTTCAATGCTAACTGGTTGGCATCGGTGCAAATATCTAACCATTTATGCTAGTCCGGCTAGAAACCCATACACAGATAGATACTGTACCCATCCATAGGCAAAAACCATTTTGTGATATTTTTAGGTCTGTAACTTCTGTGTATGTATCATCTGATTGATACATACTCTGTTCTAATGCAACTTCTTCATTTGAAGCACTGAAGTATCATGATCTTGACAATGTTAGATATTTATGATAATGAAAACGTAGTGATTTTCGGTAATCCATTCCTCTTCGATGGAACATTCCTTGACGACTCTGACATTCTATTTGCAGGTCGTTTACGGTCAGCATTATGAAGTTGAAGCAGAAGTGTACTTCAGAGTTATGATATGGACGAAGTTTGATTTGTGACATGATTGCAGAACTTCCAGGTCAGCATTATGAAGTTGAAGCAGAAGTGTACTTCAGAATTATGATATGGACGAAGTTAGATTTGTGACATGATTGCAGAACTTCCATTAAGTACACAGGTATTCTGATTCATTAGCAAGAGAAAATAGCTCTACTATGATATTGATGAATAGTCAGCTCAACAAAATCTTGTGGCGGGTCCTCAAGTTACTGCTGGTGAGCATCAAAACGCTGCTGTCAAAGAATATAGTCAACTCCTAGCATCTGTTTCATTCATTGTGCAAGCCTATGACATCCTATGCTTGGGTAGGATGGCATCTCCAATTCAATGGGAGTTGGATGGTTTTTTATGGTTAAAACCTAATTAAATCTTTTATACTTGACAAGATATTTATTTCAATCTAAACCTATTGTACTGATTTATCCAGTTGGATTTACTCTTAACTCTGACGAGGGACTGGGCAGAGTTGCACATAACTTCTAAAATTTGAATTGGGCTAGGGATGGGATGATATCATTTATTCCCAATCGAAATCCTCCTCACTCTATATATAAATAGTTTCCTTTGTTTTATTAAAATATATTTACAAACATTCACAAAATTTATTCTCATCAAGCAGGATGATGAACAACCAAGATGGTACCTCTTTAATGTAGTTCGGGGATGGTATTGTACTTCTTCACATGGGTCAGGGATGGGGTGGGGGCCATCGTTAGTACTGCCTTAAGTAGATTCTCCACTTACAAGTCTGTAAGTGAACTCATTCACAAGTCTAGACATGAGTTTGCTCAAGTCCACAAGAATGCTTATTCACAATGTTATTAGTGAGTTAGCTCACAAACCTAAACGAGCCTAGTCTTTGGTTCAATCTTAGGTCATTAAGTCACTTAAAAGTGAGCATTAGAAATAGGATAAACTTGGTTCAGTAACCTCGGCAACTGAGCGAGCTATGTGGGCCTTTATTGAGCCGAGGATGCTCGTGAACAGTTTGAATCATTTGTAACGCTATAATTTTTTCCATCAAATGAACGAATTTATGAACCATGATCTATCTATTCCAGTCCGAGTCCATCTACAATGTCCGATTCAAATCTTGATTGAGGGCAACAGTTAGAGATATTAATTCCCTATCCATCCATATAGGAGGAGGAAGCAGGAATCAGGAATCAGGAATCAGGGAAACTGAGACAAGTATTGTCTTGCAAATATTTTGAACTGCATCATATACTCGTGCGATAGCAAGGCAACCAAGTATATGTACAAAAATTCCAATATATTCAGGGATTCTTCCTGACAGTCCACAATTTCTTAAAATCCTGAAACAAAAATCAAACCACAAAGGTGAACCCTTTAAGCTGATAATTTAAAATAATGAATTATACATTAGAGATCATTAAGCTTACAATATGCGCCATGGTTTGAACACACTTAGTTGCGGAAAGCTCAGTTATATCACTCATCCATCTGCAAGTAAAAACAAGTGTTGGGAAAAACATGTTAAAGCATAATATTCTTTTTCCTCTTGTGGGTTCCTCATCAAAATACCAACTTAATATCCAAATGTAAATATTAACCAGCACAGCATAAATAGCATAGCAAAAATCAATCACACAGTGAGTCCAAATCTTTTAATGTGGAAAACCTAATGTGGAAAAAATCACGGGACCGTAGTCCACCTCAAACTTCCACTATCAATAATAATGATAACAGGTTTACAGTAGGTCTTCTCTAGAATAACTAGAGGATCAGAATAACATCAAGAACATAGATCTTGGCTCTAGCATATCATCATATAGGATGGATCTCCTCAAAAGAGAATTCTAGGTCTCACAAAGTAGATATCGCAGGAAAGTATCTTAGAGAGGGTAAACTGCAGATCAACAACGTTAGGATTGTAAAGTTTGCTGCAAGGATTCTCCACTTAAAATTTGGGTCGAAACTGACAACGTTTGGCCACAGATCATCAAGTAGAAAACTCAGAAACCTAATTTTTCTCCCTCTATTTCTCTCTCCTCTTTCTTCTGCACGCCGTCACACATGTTCACTATGCACACTCTTGCACGCTGCACACACTTCACCAAACCCTATCTCTCTTAATTATTGATTTGGGCTCCAAAAGCCCAATTGTCCAAGCCCATATATGGGCTGGACCCAACAATTCTCCCCCTCCAACTCATATGGTGGGCTGTACCAAGCCCGCTCTTCGCCTACATGCTTCAAGCTTCTCCTTAGGTAAAGACTTTGATAACATATCTGAACCATTCTCATTGGTATGCACTTTTTCCAATTGTAATTCTTTCATCTCAAGCACATCACGAATCCAGTGATATCTCACATCAATATGCTTGGATCTAGAATGATATATTAAATTCTTAGAGAGGTGAATGACACTATGACTGTCACAGTAAACAGTATATCCTTCCTGTTTCAAGCCCAATTCATATAGAAACTTTTTCATCCATAAAGCTTCCTTGCAGGCTTCAGTAATTGTTATGTATTCCGCTTCTATGGTTGATAGAGCAACACACTTCTGTAACTTAGACTGTCAAGAGACTGCTCCTCCTGCAAATGTCATCAAGAATCCCAAAGTGGACTTCCTGGAATCAGTATCACCTGCCATGTCTGCATTTGTGTAACCTTCTAACACAGGTTCATCACTGCCAAAACATAAACACAACCTGGAAGTACCTCTTAGATATCTTAATATCCATTTCACTACTACCCAATGTTCCTTTCTAGGATTTGAAAGAAATCGACTAACAACTCCAACTGCATGAGCTATATCTGGCCTAGTACAAACCATAACATACATCAAACTGCCTACTGCAGATGAGTAAGGCACTTTGGATATTTCTTCTTTTTCTTTCTCAAGGACATTGTTTCGAACTAAGCTTGAAATGACCTGCAAGTGGGGAACAAACTGGTTTGGCTTTACTCATGTTGAATCTTTCAAGAACCTTTTCAATGTAAGTCTCCTGAGATAGCCAAATCTTCATTTTCTTCCTATCACGAAGAATCTTCATGTCAAGTATTTGTTTCATCGATCTCAAGTCTTTCATGGCAAAAGACTTACTTAGCTCTCTTTTAAGCTTTCTAATTTTTCCAACATCATGGCCAACAATCAGCATATCATCAACATATAGCAGTAAAATAATAAAATCATCATATGAAAATTTCTTTATAAACACACAATGATCAGATGTGGTTCTATCATACCCTTGGCTCATCATAAAGGAATCAAACTTCTTATACCACTGTCTAGGTGCCTATTTGAGTCCATATAAGCTTTTCCTAAGCTTACACATCATATTTTCTTTTCCCTTGACTTTGAAACCTTCTGGTTGCTCCATGTAAATTTCTGTTTCTAAGTCACCATGAAGAAATGCTGTTTTTACATCAAGTTGCTCAACTTCTAAATTCAAGCGGGCAGCCAAACCAAGAACAACTCGGATAGAGGATATTTTCACAACTGGAGAAAATATTTCTTCAAAGTCAATACCTTTCTTCTAACTAAATCCTTTCACAACTAGTCGTGCCTTGTATCTTTGTTGTGAGCTATTGTTTTCGGTCTTTAATTTATAAACTCACTTGTTCTTGAGAGCTTTTTTCTCTTTAGGCAATCTTACTAAGTCATAGGTATGGTTCTCAAGCAAGGATCTCATATATTCTTGCATGGCTTTAACCCACTCATTCTTATGCTCATGAAGAATAGCTTCTTGGTAAGTTTCTGGCTCTCCCCCGTCAATAAGCATAACATACTTATGTGGAGGATATCTGGTAGATAGTTGTCGCTCTCAAGTGGATCTTCTCAATGGAATTTCAACTGGTGGTGGAGGTGCTTGTTCAGATGGTTTAGCATCATCAATTGTAGGAGAATCATCACTTACATTCTCACTATGATTTTCTTCTTCATCTCCCCCATGATCATCATGAACTATAGGTGAAGGAACTGGACCCAAACTCCAAGGAATATAAACAGAGGTTTCTGGCTTCTCAATATTACCACCATCATCAAACAATTGGTCTTCAAGAAACACAACATCTCTGCTTCTAATAATCTTCTTGTTCATTGGATCCCATAATCTGTAACCAAACTCTTCATGACCATATCCCAAGAAGATACATGCTTTTGCCTTATTATCAAGCTTGAACCTCTCATCTTTGGGAATATGAACAAATGCTTTACACCCAAAGACTCTCAAATGATTATAAGATATATCTTTTCCTCTCCATACTCTCTTTGGAACATCACCTTGTAGAGGAACTGATGGAGAAAGATTTATCAGGTCAACTGTAGTTCTCATAGCCTCCCCCAAAATGACTTCGGTAACTTGGCGTGAGAAAGCATACACCTAATCCTTTCTTCAATGGTTCTGTTCATCCTTTCTGCCACACCATTCTGCTGAGGAGTTTTAGGAACTGTTTTCTCAAGTCTGATTCCATGAAACCTGCAATAATTCTCAAAAGGACCCTTGTACTCGGCACCATTATCTGATTGAATACACTTTAGTTTTCTGCCAGTTTCTCTTTCAACACTGACATGAAACTCTTTGAAAACATCGAGTACCTGGTCTTTAGATTTCAAAGCAAAAGCCCACACTTTTCTATAATGGTCATCAATAAAAGTAACAAAATAAAGAGCACCTCCAAGAGTTCTAGTTTGCATAGTACAAACATCAGTATGAACTAAATCAATAACATCTGATCTTCTAGATGATGGATATGTCTGAAATGCAACTCTATGTGTTTTTCAAACTAAGCAATGATCACAAAATTTAAGAGATGTACCTTACAACTCTGGTAAGAACTGCTTTCTAGCAAGAGTTTGAAGTCCCTTCTCGCTGATATGTCCAAGCCTCTTATGCCAAAGATCTATACTTTCACCTTTTTGAATTGCATTAATCTCTCCTTTGTGTAGCTTAGCTTCCATGACATAAAAAGAGTTAATCTTCTTTCCTTTTGCCACAATCAGAGAACCTTTAGTGAGTTTCCATTTACTTTCACCAAAATAATGTGCAAAGCCCTCATCATCAAGTCTACTTGTAGATATCAAGTTAAGACGAATATCTAAAATATGCTTTACATCTTTGAGTATTAATTTGCTCCCAATACTGGTCTCCAAGCAAATATCTTCAATACCCACAATCTTAGATGTACCACTGTTTCTCATTCTGACATTACCAAATTCACCAGTAGTGTAAGATCTAAAGAAATCACCATGAGAAGTGACATGAAATGAAGCACCAAAGTCAATTACCCAATTACTGTCCTGAGCTACAAGACTAACACAACCTTCATCACAAACAATAGTGATATTACCTTCAGCAGCAACTGTATTGGTCTCTTTCTCATTTTTCTTCATTTCATTCTGTTCTCGCTTCCAAAACTTACACTCTTTCTTCATGTGACCTGGCCTATTACAGTGA